AGCTGGTGCTGCAGTTTAATATTTACATGTAGATGTGCTGACTTCTGCCTAGGTCCAGAACTATATAATTACCTTCTTGCATGCAAATCAATGTACTATGTAAGCAACAGATCTGGCATTGCACCCATCTGTTTACAATAATGAATGCATTTGACACAATGTGATTATAAATTACTTTTGTATACAGCACATAATATTTGCAATAGCCAATGGATATTCAGTAGCCATAATACTATTTAACACAGAACACATGCTGAAATTATGGCAGCAGTAACCTTTCATTTACAAAATATCCCACAGAGACATTGCCTCAGCCTTGGCCTATGTTGTGGATTCCGCTCCAAGGGACAGGTTTGTAAGGATACTTATGTAACCCGGGCGGTACTCCGAGAGGTACCTCCTCTCCAATTGAAGGGATCAGAGCAGGTGCACAAGTGCTGTGGGAGGTATAGGGACTCTCCTCCACTATAGAGCAGAGCCAGACCACCAATGGGGACTTAACCATATACCTTTTAATACTGGGAACATAACAGGCATAAATCAGAGGGTATAGTGGACACTACAATGCCCCAAGGGGGCAGGATTCAACAAAGGTTAGACACTTACAATCATTGACAAAAACAGGGTTAACAAAATATAAAACAAAAACAGCAGAAAAAACAATATAGGTTGGTGAAATATAAAAAGGTGCAAAATGTCAAATAACAAGGACATATAGGGCCTTGGTACCTGGAGAGCAAGAAAGGGGGGGAACACAATGGCCCCTTTCCACTGCAAGAAGATTTGCTTTTTGTTATTTCACTCATCCCAAGTCACCTCTGCTGGGACGTGAACCCAAATCTTCCACATGGTAGGCAGGAACACTGCTACACAGCCACCCCTGCTGGTACTGCTCTAGCCTGCTAGGGGTCTTAACCTTCCCGGAGCCCTGGCCTCACATCGAGCTACCTGGCCTCTGATTGGAAGAGCTGGAAGCAGAGCTGCGAACCCCTCAGGTCGCTGCTCAGATCCTTGCTGGAGCGGGGGGAGCCTCTGCTGCTGGCAGCAGCCTCTCCTTGGGGATCCTGGAGCCCAGTGGGGAGCCTCTCCTGCCAGCCACACGCCACGCTGCTGAGGGTCCCACTGCTGCCTGCAGGTCCTGCTCTTTCAGGCTCTTCCAGGGCACTGCTGCTGCCCTGCTGGCTCAGCTCTTACCAGCTCTGTGAAGCCCCTTCCTTGTTGTCCCTCGCTGGTCTCTCTCCTGA